TGTAGAATGGAGCTTTTTTTCCTGATGGTAATAGCTGTAGCAGCCTGCGTTCTTTATCTCAGGTTTTTTGGTTCTTGTGCATGAGAATGATCTCATGCCCAGCGAAATATTGATTTTCTCTAACTCTAAATTGTTTTCGTTTCCTTCCATACTCTCGTTGTTTTCTGTTAAGAGCATGCAGCAAATTGCTAAAGCTAATGTTCAAAGTAGTTTGTTTATCAGTATATTCAATAGTGTGAAGTAAAAGCGGCCGGCCGGCTGGATGTTGATAACATCACAACACGCAACGAGTGCTAGTCAGTCTATAAATGTTTGAGTCTAGATAATTTGCCCGATACGCTAATAAGCTGAACGATGGTCCTTGTCATTTTAACTGTTATGTTCACTATGTTTCCTTCTGCCTTAGGTCTACCTGAACCAAACCAAATGGATATCATAGAATGTCATAGGAAGTAAAGCGGCCGTCGTAATGTTGACAAATGATCAATCTAACACCGATTGATCCAGAATAGATAGAGGTCTAGCACCATATATCAGATGCGCATATGGTATGAAAAGGGTCCTTTATTTCTTGTGTTTATCAATACAGAAATTAATATTGAGTTTATAAACAGGTCACACACCGGTTCCAGATGCTTAACTTTCTTATCCTTATTATCTGGCCCTAGTGCGCTTATCTCCCCTTGTTCTACATATTGTTATGAATGCGAAAGTAACGTTGTCCTACACAAGCATACCGTGATTGGCGGTTCATTCATGCTTGCAAACCTTTCACACGCGCTAGTCTAAGTTACTGGGGAGTCCGGTTGTATTTTTTCGACGCTCTCGCCGGCGATGACGCGTTCTCTTTATTACACGATGTGACCGCTTTTAACAACGCCAGAAGTTATATAACTGACCCTAACCCCACCCCCCCCCCTTTCGCCTCCTCCCACCTATAGCGTCAGCCTACTTCCAACGAGGGACTGAAGCCTACGTCCAGTAGTTTCAGAACTGTTAACATTTTCCGGTCGGCCCTAGTTGCTGCAGAAAAGCAACGCTCCTCTACTTGTCGGTCGTCAGCGTTGACAACTAAATTAAAGTTATGTCGTACTTGAAGTGCAAGAAGGCTAGAATATTCGCAATGTCGCCGCCGCTCAAAACAAGGAGTAAAACTGGTCGGTCACACTAGGCGCAAAAAATACATAATAGAACACAACCCAACACCCATGTAACAGAGAGTCGCGAGTGTGAAAGGTTAGCAAGCATGAATGAACGGTTAATCACAGTGCGTTTCGGTCGAAAATCGTTACTTAAACCAATACGAAAACTTTTGACCTCGATTTTCTGCAGCAATTTCTCTTTAAGAGGTGAAATGGGTGCACTGCTTAATATTACACCATGCACCATCTGGACATCAGGTGACTCGCAAATTACAGAGACAGTTTTGAAACAAGGGATAACCCTTGAGGTCGAATACACATTATATATAATAAATAAACAGATATTGTATTGATGGGCATTCATATAAAGAAGTTGAAAGGAAGCAGGGGCAACTCCATCATCCTGTAGCAGGTCTTTTGCAGAACGTCGCTCTCATCACGGTTTTTGTCAAAGAAACTCAGTCTTTCGCCAGCTCTCCCGACTCACGTACTTTTATATTCAAGGAGTCACTTATATCCGGTGACCGTCTTCCTGTTGGTCGGCCTCTGCCCCTCCTTCCTGGTACCATGCCTTCTGCTATTTTTTTTTCAATCGCCATGGCTGTTTATTAGCCAATCTTCCTTGACGTTCAGATCTTTCAAAATGTCACTATTTTTTCTCTTCTTTGTCTATGGTATTCTGAGAATCTTTCTATAGCATTTTAGCTCAAAAGCCCGTATTTTCTTTATTACGAATTAAGAGATAGTCCACGATTCACATCCGTATGTTGCTACGGGGAAGATGCACGCTCTCAACGTTTTATTTTCTGTTCCTTGTTGGTGCTTAACCATAGACTTTTAATGCTGTTTAATCTATGTATTGCTAAGGACTGTGTTATCTGCATAGCGAAGTTCCGGAACAGGGTTGCCACTAATTATGAGCTTTCATAACTGTCACAAGTCTGGTCATTTTTTTTTTTTTTTACATTGCTTATTATGTTTTTTGCATATATATTTAATAGATATGGTGATAGTATGCATCCCTGACTCTCCCTTTTGCACCTCGAACCACTCTGATGTTTTACCAGCTGCTCTGATAACTGCTTGTTATTCATAATATAAATTTTCAATTAATGCACTTAATGCGCTGGAAACCCCATCTTCTCATTATACTCCACAATTTCTAATGTTGAACACAAATCAAATGCCTTGCCATAATCAATGAAACAAACATTAAGATCTACGTTGTATTCTCTAAATTTCTCAAACATTATTCCAATATTAAAGATGTGTTCCCTAGTTCCTCTACGAAGTGTGAAACCCACGTGTACTTTATGCAGCTCATATTGTAATTAGTTTTGCAGGACGACTTAGAGGCCACTAGACAACACACAAAAAGGACAGCTATAATTGCCCTGCAGGGACTCGAACCAGTCATCTCCAAACAACGAGTGCATCTTGCTGTTTAAGGGTGCTTAGTTGGTCACACAGCGGGGTGCATTCGTCATTTGAAACTGACAGGGTCGAGCCCAGGCTCGGCCACTGCTTTCGAATTGTATGTTGTCTAGTGTGCACTTCTGTCACATACTGGCTCTACTAAATATGTCCTAAAAGGCGATTAAGACTAGGGTTTGTCTTAGAGTAAATTACGTAAAGTATATAGCTATTTACTTTATCCCTACATCGTTCCATCTCCCCTCCTTTTCTTGCTACTACCACCTTCTTTCATTGTTCCATGGAGCACAACGTCGATCAGCAATGAAATGATGTAAGAACGGAGGGAGACCTCGAAGGGCAGAATGTTAGAAGGGCCTGCGTGCCCAATTCTTAACCCTTTAAAAATAAAGCTTGTTCGTTCGTTCGTTCGTTCGTTCGTTCAGTATTACCCAGTTTATGAAACTATGGCTAAAATGAACTTAAATAATGTAAAGTAACCTTCTGCTGGTTTGAGTATGAACAATACGACTGGGAACTTATGATGAAAATTTTATGAGTTTTGCTTGTTTTCCTTCTGTCCAGTCATCGGCCTTTTCTGGTGCAGAAAAAAAAGGCGAAAGTTGCTGTATTAATTATGTCAATACAGCTCCAAGTTTATCCCCATCTCTGGTGAGATAACCTCAAGAAAATTGCGGATTTACAAAGAATACAGGCTTCATCATTCTTCCATTCTCACAGATTTTCAGTAACCTCAAGGACATGGCGGAATTACAATGAATACAGGCTTCATCATTCTTCCATTCTCACAGATATTCAATGACATTGAAGACATTGAAAAGGATCTCACGAAATGTGCACTGGAAGTAAATAAACTGCTAGAGTAGAGATGTTCGTGCACACGGGTAAACAGGGCACTTCAGAGAACTGTGATAACCGTAATGAAAGAAAGTCGAAACCCCGGACAAAAGGGGAATGTGATGAATTATCATAATGGCACAAGCAGTTTAACCATGGGGACGCACAGAACTGATAATCATAATGAGTGAAGTAGGCTAACATAACTACCAGGATAGGGGACCAATAATAATGAGGAAATTTGACTAAAAAGACGACGGGGAGAGAAGATTAATAATAATGAGTGAATTAAATTAACAAGACGACGGGGAGATTAGACCAATAATGATAAGGGAATTAGGCTAACAAGACGACGGGGAGAGGAGACCAATAATGATGAGTGAATTAGATTAAAAAGACGACGGGGAGAGAAGACCAATAATGATGAGTGAATTAGATTTAAAAGAGGACAGGGAGAGGAGACCAGTAATGATAAGGGAATTGGGCTAACAAGACGACGGCGAGAGGAGACCAATAATAATGAGAGCATTAGGATAAAAAGACGACGGGGAGAGAGGAGACCAGTAATATTGAGTGAATCAGGCTAACAAGACAACAGGGAGAGGAACCCAATAATAATGAGTGAACGAGTAAATTAGGCTTAAAATACGACGAGGAGAGGAGACCAATAATAATAAGGGAATTAAATTAACAAAACGACGGGGAGATGAGACCAATAATAATGAGTGAATTAAGCTAAGAAGACTACGTGGAGAGTAAGTCAATAATAATGAATGAATTAGGCTTAGACGACGCGGAGAAAAGACCAATAATAATGAGTGAATGAAGCTCCAAGACGACGGGGAGAAGGTATAATCATAATTCGTAAAGTAAGCGGTGAGATCAGAGAAATCGTAGTGAGTGAAGTAGTTTAGCAAGGGTAAGAAAGAGAACATATAATAATGATAATAGGGCTAATAAGATAGTGATTAAGAAAAATCGTATGGATAGAATGAGACCAGCAAAGGCGGAAGAGGAGAGCAAACAAAGTGACTCAGATGTCAACCAATAAGATGAACTGAGATTATCTGAGTTAAGAACAGACATCATAGCACTTGGGAGATTGCCATAACAGCTCCGTTCTCATCTTCAGCAGCAATTGAAGAGCTACAGTTCCAATGGTACCAGTAGCTGACGGATTGTAGGTCGTCTCGCCTATTTCTCTAAGTGTTGATCTATATTTCTTTCTGTGTCAGTCTATTGTGTCAAACATACATATTAATTTGTGTACCATACTTAACAATCAGCCCACGGTCGGTGTTTGAAACCGGGTGGTTCTCCAGGTTCACCCAGCCTCTAGGTAATGGGTACCAGAGTAAACAGTCTGGGGTAAATGACGAAACCTCGCTGTAGCTACGTAGTTACGTGCGGACAGCGACACAAGCGGAAAGTTTCTTATCAGCTGTCCGTACTGGTGGCAGAGCACTTATGGTTTATAACCGCATACAATGACGCTGGTTCACATCTCCCGACTTTACCTTTAAAATATGCTGCTGTGTTTCATTATTGTAAGATGCAAAAATTAACTTTGTTTCTCTGTCCTTGCAGAGTCGCTGTGCCAGTGCTACATCCCACCAGCACTGTTCAAGTTCTTCTTTTGGCTTGGTTACTGCAACTCGATCATGAACCCGATCATATACACATGCTCAAGCACGGAGTGCAGGCGCGCCTTCATAGCTATCCTTACTTGCAGACGATGCCGGAAGCGACCTCGAATCTCACTTTCTGAACTGCAGATGAAGGGCAAAGTTCACAAGAATGGGCATCGGAGTGCTATGAGACAGCTTCCCCAGCAGGTTAAAGAACAAGACTTGCATTACCCTTTATGTGATATATCATCATCATCATCTTCGCCTCCTGGAACTTTTACCAACATCCCTGTAGGGATGGAACTGGCCGCGATATCCTTGCCCCAGACTGTGAGACATGATGACTCTGTACTTGAAAACACACCCGGTGCTCTTCGAGACTCTAGAAATGCTGGAATCAAAACAGACAGCAGTTCTGTCTGCAAAACGAAGAGCAATCTAAAGAAATGGATTTCTGATAATCGTGTCAATTTTCATCAGAAGTTTCAGAAGTGTTCATCAGTATCATGA